GCGACGTAGACTAAGTTTCAGGTTGATACAGGCCACATCAGAATAACTCTTCTGCTTTCGAATGAAAGTCTGCAGCACTTCCTCCAACACAGGCAGGTTGTGTGTTATATTTTATCAAAACGATACTTAACAACTCTCGAATGATAACGTAATCAGCCTAAGTTGTACAAGGTGATTTAAGGTCTGGCGAATAGGCCTCAAACTGCCATTCATTTTCAGGCTGGATTACAATTTCTTCATAATCATCATCATTATTATGAGCATAATCATTATGATTATTATGATTGTTGTGATTATTTACATCATCATTATTATTTCTACTATCATCATTAGTAGTATTAGTATTTATATTAGTTTTACTACTTTTTTTCTGCTAGTGGTGGTGATGATTTTATTAGTAGCACATAGAAGCTTCGAAAATATTCATTACACCGCTTAACTGTGTGATTTTTACGGGAAGCCAAGTCCTTCGCGAATGATAATTTATTGTCCTAGATTCAATTGGATAAACATACTCAACGATGTATGATGTATGATGTATGTTAATAGAGCAGCGATGTTGGGAATTGCACACAAGTTCAAGGGATAAATCTGTTTTCCCATTGCTTTTGGTTACTGTTTGGCCGGGGGTGCGATGAGAAGATCTGTTGGGAGGCTTGACCAAATGAAATTCAATTTCATCGTAAGGCTAACTCATTTCATAATGGGACAAATTCGACTATTCGTCTTTGAATCCCGTTAAGCGACTCAGGCTGAGTTGGCTGTTATTCTGAAATGAAGACTCACAAAGAACTCCATTGGTTGCCATGGTAAATGGTTGCTTGCGTTATTGGCAATCCATCACGAATGCGATGCTGGAGAGGCATGGACTGTCTGAAAAATGACGTGCCTCCACGATACTCGCAACCAGGATTCGAGTCCCGGCAGGATGCTAAGCCGGTGAGCTGAGTACCGGCCGGGAAGGACTAAGTGGAGTTCAAAAGGGATTGTGTGACTTGGTGGTTTAACTGTGAGAAATACTTCATTGTCATTCTATCAACCAACTTGTCTGACTGGTAGTTTCGAGACCTCTGCACGAGGGTTCGAACCTTGACGCGTCCAGTTCGAGGCATGGGCAGGACAAGTGGTGTGAAAAATGGAAAATTGTCTGCCCTAAAGAGGCGAGAGACAGAAAGAAAAGATTGTGAAATAAAAGTTGGCCGAAAGGAATTCGTGGATTAGTCTCACCAGAAGCCGAGTGAGGATTGTCTTTGAAGGGTAAAAACCGTTGGATTATGCGAAGAGGCTCTCGGCTCACCGTCTCCGTGAAAAGGTATACTTTAAGAATGCATTAATTCGGGAAATTAAGAGTGACTCGGTGCAATCACACTCACATTTCACACTTAATTTTACCATCCTAATGAGATATGCCATGATTTGGCTGGCTATTTAGACGAAATCTGTTTGTTCTTCATGTCTATGAAGAGTTCGCCTACATGGTTTGTGTGAGAGAGTGGCTGAGAGAGAAGAAGAGGAACAAGACGAGTCTACCACTTTTATGGCTAATTCGGAGGGCAAAAGTGCAATTGTTCTCCACTCGAAATTCGCGTCCATACAGACTTTACGAGGAGAGATGCATTTGACTTGTCGAAAAAGTGCATCATGTTTTGCAGCTAATGGAGACCGGGCGAAAAGTGTCCGCCAAGTTGGACGTTTATTTTTGCCTATTTTTGCCTATTTTTGCCGACTAATGTTGGTCTCGTGACCGCCGATTAGTTGAGAGACCGGCTCGACTTGAGAGACTTTTTCCTGCAACTTGCGCCACATCTTTTCGTCTTCATTCAGTCCGTTTTTCGGCCCGGTCCAACTGAATACCACTTCTACTTTAGCCGGGAATGCCAGTCTCTGACGTGGAACTCGTTGGCCCGTCGGCCATTTCATCCAAGATTCGAGTCCGGCTGAGTCTGAGTGAAATCCGGCAGGAAATCTGCGTCTCTTCGTGACATTACGGACACTTGATCGAGAGTTTAGGGATGTTCCTGCTACGAAGAGGAGTGGATTAATTTGGTGCATATATTTTCCGCCTCAAAAGAGGTAATTCGACCCAAATGAATGAGAATCTCCCCGTTTATTACTAAATCTGTGGGGATTGCGGCCGAAGCCTCAAAAGTCAGAAGTGCATTAGCAACTGAGGCCATCTTTACAAGCAAAAAAGGGATTGAGCTAAGCCGGCGAAAGCCTGACCCATAACCTAAGAAAATGTATTAAAAAGGTAAAGGTGTAATGAAAAAATTGGCGAGAAAATTAGCGTATGCTTGTTTTAACGGCTTATCGAATTCCCATGCGTGTTTTTTTTGCGAATAAATAGAATGAGCAAAGAATTTAATCTATTTAAGCATCTAAATTGTGTACACTATTTTGGCCTATATTACCTCTGGATGCATCGTTTCTATTTTCTATTTAATTAATTGGACTTTCTATTTAATTCTCGTCTAATCCAACATTTACGCTCAAGCGTCTTCGTTGCCAAGCTTGCCATTTAACTGAACAAGCCAAGAGGGTGTAATTTTAAGCCATTCTTCAGAAACAAATCAACTTGTAAACTTCTTTTGCGGGTCTTGTCGGTGATCAGAAAATTAATTAATGTGAGAATCGTAATTTTTGGGACTGTTTTTCATATGTTTTCATCTTTTGCATAAAAATGTATCGAC